TTTCACTTGGCAAATCCAAATACTAATTTCCTTCCAAAGAAATATAGACTCGTAGGAAACTTGGTCCTATTCTAGAAGAATAAATTTGACAATAATTTCCTTATTTTTCCCATTAGCTCCAAATATATTCTTTTTTCTACTTTATTTATTAAACAAATACAGTTTGCCCAAGAAGTGCTAGGCATTCTTTCAGGTTCATGAGAAGCAAAACAGACAAAAATCCCCTTGTGGATCTTGAATTCCAGATTCTGATTGCAAATCTCTCTGTTGATAAGAGAATGGGACCAGGAGAGGGTGTTCATCAAAGTGCATAGGAGCATCCAGTGACTACCCCACTTCTGACTGGGGACCAAGAGTCCTTCCTATACAGAATATTGCCTTGCTGGTGACTCAGCTTAGGACTTTTCCACAAAATCTAATTAGAGGAGAATTAGATTTTGCTAATAAAGATCTGATGGTTATTATCTGGTCAGTTGATGAATGCACACAACAGTGACACTGATCAAGTTTTCTTCCTTCCAGGTGTAGAGGACATTGTTCAGTGTTTTTCCTGTGGAGGATGTTTGCATAACTGGAAGGAAGAGGATGACCCATTAGAAGATCACACCAAACATTTTCCCAAGTGAGCAGAATGAATGTTTAGTGTCTATGACTTTGAGTGCACTTTAATGATTTCCCCCTTATTATATCTATGGATGAAGTGTTTAGTTTCTTCTCTGATTCAGATGATGAGGACGTGTCTTCATGTCTTTCATCCCTTTGTTACCATGACACTTCCTGTCTATCTTTCCTCTCATTATAGTTATGTCTTGGTTTGGGTTAGATCAATATATATATATATATATCTGTGTGTGTGTGTGTGGTATTGGGGATTGAATCCATGTCCTTGTCCTGTCTACAAACTGAACTATATCCCCAGCCCAGATTGATATTTTTTAAAAAATATTTTTAGTTGTAGATGGATACAATACCTTTATTTAATTTATTTATTCTTTTATGTGGTACTAAGGATTGAACCCAGTGCCTTACTTGTGCCAGGTGAGTAATCTACCACTGAGCCACAACCCCACCCCAGATCAATATTTTTATTTTACATGTTTGCTTTATTATAACTACATAACTACAATGCAGAGCTAAAGCTTATAATAAATTGTGGCATTTCTTCCTTTCCTGTCATTTGCCTCTATTCCCAGTACTTAGGATTGAACCCAGGGCCTAGCACAAGATAGACACATCCTCTGCCGCTGGGATATATTTCCAGTCTTTTTTTTTTTTTTTTAATCTTTTAAGACTAAGTTGCTGAGGCTGGCCTGCAATTTGTGATCCTCCTGCCTCAACCTCCCAAGTAGCTAGATTTATAGGTGTGCACCACGAGGCCTCGCACATATATCATTTTATGTAGGAAGTGATAACTGCCTTAAGAAAATGTTTGTTTGTATATTTTTTGAAGCAAAATCCACATATTAACCATTTAAAAAATATTTTAGTTGTAGATGGACGAAATACTTTTGTTTTATTCATTTATTTTTATGTGGTGCTGAAGATCAAACTCAGTGCCTCAAACATGCTAGGCGAGCGCTCTACCACTGAGCTACAACCCCAGCCCCACATTAACCATTTTTTGAACGCATAGTTCAGTGGTGTTTAGTACATTTACAATATTGTGCAATCATCTTCTTAACTCCAAAACATTTTCATCAACCCAGAAGAAAACTCTACTCATTAAGCAGTCACTCCTCATCTTTCCGTGCTATTCCTTGCCACACCTTTGATAAACACCAATCTGCTTTGTGCCTCTGGATTTACCCAAGTAGACATTTCACACAAATGGAAGCATGCAATATGCTTCCATCCTGTGTCTGGTGTGTTTCTTTCTTTGTTATATTTATTTTATTTGTTTATTTTTTATGTGGTGCTGAACATCAAACCGAGTGCCTCCCATGTGCTAGGCAACAACCTCAGCAACAATCACTGCAACAAGCCCAGCCCCCTGGCTTCTCTCACTTAGCATATTTTTTGGAGGTTTATCCATATTGTAAAGCGTATCAGTATTTTATTCCTTTTGAAGCCAAATAATATTCTCTATGGATATACTACATTTTATCTATTCATCCCCTGGTTTTTGGACATTTGAGTTGTTTCTACCTTTTGGTTTTTATGAATAGTGCTATTACAAAGTGGAAGATACTGTTTGAGCACCTGTATTCAATGCTTTTGGGTATAGAGGAGTTGAATTGCTAGATTATATGGTAATTCAATTTTAGCTTTTTGTCAAACTGTTTTCCACCATTTTAATTTCTTATCAACAATATATGAAGGCTCCAAATTCTCTATAGCCTCATCAACACTTATTTTCCAGTTTTTTTTTTCAGTTATCTTACAGCTATTTCCTTAGCTTTTTATGCACGTAGCACCAGTTCATCTTCAAATTCTCCCAAGTATTTAGATATGATATCTTCTCAGTCATTCTAATCTATCAAATATCTCATCATTTTCATCTCCTTGGAGGAGTTTCTCCCAGAATGTCTTGGCTTGCTGCAGTATGAACTACTTATCCTATAGTCATCCTGGGATCCTGGGATCTTCATGATCATCCTGGAAATTCCTCTCCTGTGTTGTTTCTATTTCCTGGATCTAATCTCATTCTCTTCTTGGTTTACTTTCTCATTTTGGAGGACTACTCAGCCACAGTACTCTTGGAAAGATTGTATAAGAGATATATGATTTTAGTTTGAATATAACACATATATTTTAATGGGTGTATCTATTTTCCCCTATTCTCACAATTTTTGGTAATTTAGTTAGGTATAGGATTATAGACTGGAAGTTATTTTGTCTTAGTTTTTGGTACTGGGGATTTACCCCAAAGGAAATTTACCACTTAGCTATTTGCCTGGGTTTTTTTCCCACTAATGTCTTTTTTTTTTCTTTCATACATCACAATAGTGAAATTAATTACATTCATAATTATTCATTCACAACACAATTTTTCATAACTCTGTATATAAAGTATGTTCATGCCAAATTATGACATTATACATGAGCTCTCTTATTGATTTTTTTGCATTACAATTCTTAATACTCCTTTATATACAATTTATCATATCTCTGTTTGTATATAAGGTATGTTGACACCAAATTCACATCTTCATACATGTATGATAACCATCTCCTTCCACCACCTTGTTGTTCCCCTTCTCCCTCCCTTTCTCTCCCACCCCTATTCCCTATCTAGATGTAATCTTCCTCCCCTGCTCTCCTTTTCTATCCCACTTTGAGTCACCCCCCTTATATCAGAGAAAACATTCGGCATTTGTTTTGGGGGGATTGGCTAACTTCACTTAGCATAATCTTCTCTAATGCCATCTATTTCCCTACAAATGCCTTGGATTTGTACATGTAGCTTTCTCTAATTTTGATTCTTTAAATTAATCCTAGTTGGTTTTATGGATGAACATTAAATATACACTCATCCCACCAAATTCCCTGGCTTTACAAACCATGTACATTTCTATTACTGAAAGCCACAGTCTAAATGTCTTATGTTTATGACACTGACAGAGTCACTGAAAATGTTAGTTTTATACTTAATTCTTGTCATTAAAACTCTGCTTTTTAAAAGTATAATATGCCAGGTGCAGTGGCACACACCTGTAATCCCAGCAGCTTGGGAAGCTGAGGCAGGAAGGTTCATGAGTTCAAAGCCAGCCTCAGCAAAAGTGAAGTGCTAAGCAATTCAGTGTCGCTAAATAAAATCCAAAGTAGGGCTGGGGATGTGACTTAGTGGTTGAGTACCTCTGGGTTCAATCTCGGTGTCCCTCCCCCCCCAAAAAAAAGTGTAATGCAAGTGTTTAATTAGAGCAACTCTTGTTTAACTTATACCTTTTATGCTTAGTTGTCCATTTCTCCAAAATATGAAGTCCACTGCAGAAGTGATTCCAGACGTTCAGAGCCATGGTGAACTTCCTAAAGTAATGGTAATGAACACCTGATCATGTGATTGAAAACTGTTTTGAACAGTAATTGCTCATTATAAATAAGTAAATAAATAAATTCCATGACTATCTCCTAAGTCCCTATCAAGTGCTAGGTGCAGATGGGGATACCACGTAAACCAGGATGGTACAATTTCTAGCTTTATGAAAGGTACAATCAGTTCCTTCTACTTTGGGACTCAGACTCTTTCTTTCAGACTTAGAGTTGATCAGCTCCAAGCTAAATGGATCTCACCTGTGATCTTCATTTGGCAAGTAGTAAGGCCTGACTTCCTCCTTGGCCTTTTTTAGGAATGAATGCCCAGCAAAATCATAAATCCAGATAATAGGTTGACCCCCTTAAACTGAGAAATCCTATTAGTTCTCTGAGATATAAGCCAACTATCAGTTTGATAGATAACAAACACATACCACCTTATTTTGAGACTGTATGGAACTATAACAAACACATATCACCTTATTTTGGACTGTTATGTTTGTCATCACACAAAAAGAAAACAAAGCAATTTTCTGTTCACTTGGTATGTCTTTTATATTTGAGAATTAAAAATTGACAATGAAACCAGGTATGTTGGTGCATGCCTATAATCCCAGCTACTTGGGAGGCTTAAGCAGGAGAATCACAACTCTGAGGCCAGCCTGGGCAGCTTTGAGACCTGTTTCAAAATAAAATTTAAAAAAGGTCTAGGGATATAGTTCACTGCATGTGCAAGGTCCAGACTTTAATCTCCAGTACTGCAAACAAACAATAAAATCTAATTCAAAATGGCATTGAAGCTGGGCGCGGTAGTGCAATCCTATAATCCCAGGGGCTCTGGAGACTGAGGCAGGAGGATCACAAGTTCAAAGCCAGCCTCAGCAACTTAGCAAGGCACTAAGCAATTTATTGAGATGCTGTCTCTAAATAAAATACAAAATAGGGCTGGGGATGTGACTCAGTGGTCAAGTGCCCCTGAGTTCAATACCTGGTACCCGTCCCCTGACCCCCACAAAAATAACATTGCGATCATAAGTGGGTGTTTAAGTGTGATGATTGGGTTTTTATGCCATTTTGTGAGATGTGTCTCCCTCAAACCTTGTTACAATGTCTGTATGTTACCCATTTGATGTAAAAAGGTGAAGGGTGTGACATTGAAGCTGGGCATGGTGGTCCACGTCTGTAACTCCAGCAACTCAGTAGTCTAAGGCAGGAGAATCACAAGGTTGTGGCCAGCCTCGGGAACTTAGCAAGACCCTGTCTCAAAATTAATTAATTAATTAATTAATTAATTAATTAAGGGCTGGGACAATGGCTCAGTGGTAAAGTGCTTCTGTGTTCAATCAACTGTACCACAAAAAAATAAAAATTTTTAAAAAGTGGCATTGAAGAAAAAATTTGGAGACATATAAATAGGTTATTCTTACTTTCTTTTTTTCTTTTCACACATGCTAAACAAGTTCTCTGCCACTGAGCCATACCCCGAGCCCCTTTTAAAAATAGCTCATTTTTTAAAAAATATTTTCTCAGTTGTAGATGGATACAATATCTTTGCTTGCTTATTTATTTATTTTTGTTTTGTGCTGAGGATTGAACCCCGTGCCTCACACATGCAAGGCAAGTGCTCTACCACAGAGCTACAACCCCAGCCCAAAATAGTTCATTTTTAAAGGGAAGAAACATACATTCCAGGTGTGTAATAATAAACATGTATTTATTAACTAAGGACAGAGGCTGCACTTCAGTGTTCTTCTTGCTCTAAACATTATTATAGATTCTGATTATCTTAAAAGTATTCACCATGGAATGTACCATATATGTATCATTGTTATGTTTGTTTATATGAAGTATCCCCCAAGATTCATGTGTTTAAGGCTTAGTCTTCAATGTGCTGCATGTACTTGGCAAAGTACAGAGGTGGAGCTTAAGGCTCTGACCAAATTAATGGATTAATGCGTTGATGGACTAATAGTTGGATGGCATTATTGAGAGGTGATGGAAACAGTAGGAAGTGGGGCCTACTTGTTGGAAGTAGGTCACTAGGAGCATGCCTTGGAAGGGTATATCTTGTCCCTGGCCCCTTCCTCCCTCTCTCTGCTTTGTGGCTATCTCAAGATGAACAGCTTTCCTCCATCATGTCCTTCTGCCATGATATTTCTGCATTGGAGCTGACCACAGACTGAAGCCTCTGGAACTGTGAGCCAAAATAAATCTTTCCTCCTCCAAGTTGTTTTAATCAGATAGTTTTTCCCAGTGACGAAAAGCTGACTGACACAGTCATCTAAGAACACATGTACCATCTTGCAGATGTTTGCAAATGGTTAATTATTTTGCATTTAGAGCACTCGTTTTAGCATAAACATTTGAGGGTGGGCTGTGTTTAGAAGATGTTGGATCCTCAATAATAATATGATGTCCCACTCTCTTATGCAGATTTTTATTTAATAAAGAATTTTCTTTTTCGAAGGAAACTACAACCGAAAGCAATCTTGAAGATTCAGAAGCAGTTAATTCTATAGGGCCAGGTAAGAACTTGGAAGTAAAATGTTTATTTAGGAGGTAGAATAATAATAGTTACTCATTGATAATATATATACTTGAGGCTTAGTTGATTAATTCCTATTTAATCATCACAATAATCCCTATGATGTAAGTATTATTATTAGTTTCAGGAAACAGACGCAGAAAGGTGAGATAATTTATCTAAGATCAGAAAGGCAGTAATAAGTAGCAGAGCTAGAACAGGCCCATGCATTGTGTTTCACTAAACCATTATGCTCTGTTGCCCCTCTCCATGGTAGAGTTGGACAATTTAAGCAGGAATCCTATCTGAACTCCTTAGTTATAATTTCAAACCATTTAGAACTTTATATCTCTCATCTATGAAAAGGTGATACCATCTCCTGGAATAATTGTGGTAAGGATTAAGTGAGAATGCATGTAAAGCATGTCTTTACTAATCATAGAATGGGTCTTGGTACTCATAAATGAATGAATGCTAAGGAAATACAATCATTAATTCCAAAGTTGCCAGGTAATCATGGAATATAATGTCAAGTGTGTTCTAGACAATAAGCTGTTCTAGATTTATTCTAAAGGTCCAATAATAAAAGACTAAGTAAATTAAAAAAAAAACTTGGAAGCAGCACATGAGATTATATATATGTGTAAATATATTTGCATGCAAAGATTTGAGAAAAAAGTATTTGTGGAGCTGGGATAGAGTGCTTACCTCACATATATGAGGCACTGTGTTCAATTCTCAGCACCACATATAAATAAATGAATAAAATAAAAATGTCCATCAACAACTAAAAATATTTAAAAAAAAATATTTGTAATTGTCCAAAGATCTCATAGATCAGAGCAGCACTGAAATGGAGACTATTGTATATTGAGAGAAACTAGGGTTCTTCTGGCATTTCCAGAGTGAATACAGGACTGAATCCATGGTAATCAATGTGTTTCAGATACAAACTAATGTTGAAAGCACCACACAACAAGTTTCTCTCCTGAGATTTTAAAATGGGAAAGTATAGAATTCCAGGATGCTCCTAATAAGCACATTTCTAGGTCCCCACGTCAAGTAGGGTACTGGGGTTCATGCTCCCCACATTCTGGTTTCATGGAAAAAGCTAGAAGAGAATCCCAAACTGAGGATCATGGATAGCTGTGGAAGGTCCTAGTCCATCTGTAGTAGATAGGCAGAATCATGGTGTGGAAAGAATATGGTATTAGGATTGAGAGAGATGTGACTGTGAATCCCAGCTGTGCCTCCCTTCTCTCCACAGAGGTGGCACAGGACAAAACCCAATGGTTTCAAGAGGCAAAGAATCTGAGTGAGAAACTGAGAGCAGTCTACACCAGTGCCAGTTTCCGCCACATGTCTTTGCTGGAGCTCTCTTCCAAAGTAGCCACTGACCACTTGCTGGGTTGTGATCTGTCCATCATTTCAAAGCATATCAGCAGCACTGTGCAAGAACCCGTGGTGTTGCCTGAGGTCTTTGCCAACTTGAACTCTGTAATGTGTGTGGAAGGTGAAACTGGTAGTGGAAAGACGGTCCTATTGAAGAAAATAGCTTTTCTCTGGGCATCAGGATGCTGTCCTCTGCTGAACAGATTCCATCTGGTCTTCTACCTCTCCCTCAGTTCTACCAGACCAGACCAGGGGCTGGCCAGCATCATTTGTGACCAACTGCTAAAGACAGAAGGAACTAATACTGAATTATGCCTGATGAACATCATCCGGCAGTTAAAGAATCAGGTGTTATTCCTTTTGGATGATTACAAAGAAATGTGCTCATTCCCTCAAGTCATAGAAAAACTGATTAAAAAAAACCACTCATTACGATCCTGCTTGTTGATTGCCATCCATACAAACAGGGCCAGGAACATCCGCCGATACTTAGATACGATTCTAGAGATCCAAGCGTTTCCCTTTTATAATACTATCTTTCTATTACGGAGGCTCTTTCCACATAATATGACTCGTCTGCAAAAGATGATGGTTCACTTTGGAAAGAATACAAATTTGCAGGGAATTCAGAAAACTCCCCTCTTTGTGGCAGCAATCTGTACTAACTGGTTTCAGTGTCCTTTTGATCAGTTCTTTGATGATGTGGCTGTTTTCAAATCCTATATGGATTACCTTTTTTTAAAGCTCAAATCTACAGCTGAACGTTTCAAAGAAATTATATCTTCCTGCAGTGAGCTGGCCCTGAAAGGATTTTTTTCATCTTGCTTTGAGTTTACTGGCAATGACCTCGAAGAAGCAGGGGTTGATGAAGATGAAGATCTAACCATGTGTTTGATGAGCAAATTCACAGCCCAAAGACTGAGACCAGTCTATCAGTTTTTAAGTCCTACATTTCAAGAATTTCTTGCTGGGATAAGGCTGATTGAACTCCTGGATTCAGACAGGCAGGATGATCAAGATTTGGGACTTTATTATTTGAAACAAATTAAGTCATCCATGATGGCTGTATTTCCCTATGAGAATTTTTTGAAATATGTCTCCAGCCACCCTTCATCAAAGGCAGGGCCAAAACTTGTATCTCATTTGCTTCATTTGGTGGATAATAAAGAATCATTGGAAGATATGTCAGAAAATGATGACTACCTGAAGCACCGTCCAGATATTTCAATGTATATGGAATTTCTTAGGGTGATATGGCAACTGACTCCAAACACTTACTATTCACTGGTTTCAAAACGGTTATTGGATCTTGCTCTAAAAATTGCTTATCAAAGTAACACTGTTGCTGCATGTTCTCCATTTATTTTGCAATTCCTTCAAGGGAGAACACTGACTTTGAATATACTTAATTTACAGTACTTTTTTGACCACCCAGAAAGCCTGTTGTTGTTGAAAAGTATTGTTGTCTCCATACAAGGAAAGAAAAGGAAAAATTTCCCAAATTTTTCATCCCTGGAAAAATGTTGGGAAATCAACAAATCACAGGTACCAACTATAGATCAGGACTATGCTTCTACCTTTAAACCTATGAAAGAATTTGAGGAAAATTTAGCTGAACAGGAAGAGACCATAAACAGCTTTCTGGATTTACAACACAGGGCGCCACCAGACATCAGTGCTGGCTATTGGAAACTGCCTTCCAAGCAGTACAAGATTCCCCTGCTGGAAGTCCAGGTGACCAGCGTGGATGCTGTGGATCAGGAGATGCTCAGGGTTCTAATGGAAGTTTTCTCAGCTTCACAGCACATTGAACTCCATTTAGATCACAGCAATGGCTTTATTGAAAGCATCCGCCCAGCTCTGGAGCTAAATAAGACCTCTGTCACCAAGTGCTCTATACACCAGTGTGAACTCTGTGCCCCAGAACAGGAGCTGCTTCTCACCCTGCCTTCCCTGGAATCTCTTAACATCTCAGGGACAATCCAGCTACAAGGTAAATCTAAGTAGATTTGGGGTGACTATTCCAATGTGACACTTTATTTCTTCATTCTTAGTTTTTAGGTAGATGAAAATTTCTGAGGGCATGAGACCAAAAATGTTCCTTGATAGAATGGCGTAAAATAAGCTTTGAGTCTGTAATTAATGAAAGATCCCTGAAAAATAGAACGGTTTTCAGATAACTGAGATAAAATTAACAAAATAAGATGGGTATAGTG